AATTTGTTTTTTCTAATTTAAGTTTTCAAAGAATTTAGGAAGAACCATCCAAAAAGATTTTAAGAGCATTAAAGTTGCAAAGTCAAGCACTCAAAAATTATGAAATGGAAGAATTATGTTTACCTGACCACTTTGTACATATGCATTATAATATCTTTTTGATTGCATATTATTTTTTCTACAGGACATCTGCCTTGTTCTGTGCACACATTGGACGATGCTTTGGAAATGGTCCAAGATTATGTAATGTATGCATTTGTTGTCTGTAGGACCTTTGCCTCACTGCTTGAGGAGGTGTTTAGTAAGTGAGACAGGGTTATTGTGGGAAGAGAAAGGACTGTCTCATGGTCCAGACAGTTGAATACTGCACTGGAGAATTGAATTCTGTCCTTTCTGTCACCTGGTGGACAGAAGGAGAACACAGGGAACAAGCAAGCTCCAGGAAGAAAAAAAGAGATGCTGACACTTACTGCCTGCTCTTTGGCCCCTATCCTGGGTGCTTCAGCCCCTCCAGATATTGCTGTTGCCTCTGCCATCCCACACATTTAAGTTTACTGCAGTATTTCCATTGTGGGGATCCTAAGCTCCCACCCCCTGTCACCAGTTCCACCTGCCTGCCACAGAGTTCCTGTATGAGGCTTGGCAAGTTGCTTAAACCAAACTATTCACTGGGGGGGCCTCCAATAGTGTGTTCCATGTTTTCTCAATGCCCAGCAGGAAACCTGTAGGGCCAGATATAATGGAGTGCTTGAGCACTCACAACTGTAACAGAAGTAGAATCTTTGCTATAAATGCATAAAATATTAACTACTCTGAAAAAATCAGGACCTTGGTATCTAAACTGCACCTTCCAAAATTAGTGGAGACTTCTGATAATTTTGTTCTTATTCTCAGTCTCATTTCCTGATCTGGACAGTGGGGGAAAAATACTCACCTCACAGGGGTGTCATGAAGATAAACTCATTAATGTCAGTATCTTGGTTTACTATGAGATTATAGTAAAAAAGCCCTTGAGGAAATTAATTTTGTATTCAGATGATGTGCCTCAAATACACAGAGCTACACACCAAATGACAAAGACAAAAGGAAACATTAAATAGCTTACCAGTTACCAGTAACTGAGTACTGTCCATCCTTCTCACTGAATGAGGCAGGAGTTCTGTAGAAAAAATAATGTGGTCATGTAATTAAAGACTGACATGATGCACATGCTCAAACAGACTGAATTAAAGTTTCACAGGCAACCTGAATTGTGGCATTTTCAAATTTATGAATGCTTGGCTTTGCTAACAATATAGACTTGTTAATGTAATTTATAAGTATTTACTTGGAGTTTTGTATATTAAAATAGTTCAACTACTGCATATATTTATAATTGTTCAAAATATTACTTACTTGGAATTCAGGATTTTATTATCTACTACCTCTTAGATCTGTCTAGCCTGAGGATATTAGTAAATGACTTGCTGCATATGAAAAAATATTTTTGTGTGTGGTGATGGTGAAATGGAAAGTTATGATCCTATTACCCACTTTAAGTTTTCATATAGTTACCTAAATACTGAGGATGTTATATGCTACATTTAAAATTGAGTATATTATCATAGCCACATATTGGAAAGCATTTAATTTCCTCCTTTAATTGTTAAATACTACTAGCTAATTTTTATTTGAATTTTTCCAGGTTCTGTATTCTTATTCAATAGGTTTTGTGTATATTTTATTGGGATTGACATGCACTAATGGATTAAGCCCTGCAGTAACATTTTGTTCAAAGGTAAACACTTATTAATCTTACTCCAAAATAAAAATATTTAACTAGTTTTCTGAGTACTGAGGACTCCTCACAGGAAAGATTGTTAATATAGTGTGACAAGACTTGCCATTTTCTTAACTGATCTAAGTACAAGTAAACTTGTCCAATTTAGAAATTAATCCCTTTTTAGTCCTTCATCAACAAAAGTTGAATTTTTTTTAAAAGTGCCATAGTTGAGTGTGTAATTATTTTTCTATTATTTAATAGTTAAATAAGAATCTTTGCATGAATGCATTGTTGAACAGCTTATTATTGCTTGCATACTTGATTAAAGTCTATAGTTTTATTTCATTTTGTAACACCTCAGGGTTTGTTTTGCATTTTCCTAACAGGTTTCTTCTTGTTGTTGTTGCAGCATCCAGTTCAGACTTACGGTTATGCATTCTTTTTTTCCCTGACTGGATATTTTGGAATATCCTTTGTTCTAGCTTTGATTAAAATCTTCGGTGCCCTTCTAGCTGTAACAGGTATGAACAAAATTACATTTTGTATTAATATAAAAAATGTAATACGGTTTTCCAATTTAGGAAAAGCTTGTGAGAATTGGTCTTGCTCTCGTTTTCTTTTACTCTGAGCTAAATCACCTGAGTTCATGTAGCATAACTTCTCTGTTGCAGTAGATTTGGAAACCTCATGGCTCTTTCTAACCCAGTGCCTTCACCTAGAAGGGCTTTATGCACAAATACATGAATGCCAGGATCCTTAGCTAGATACACTAAACAATGCACTTGACAGAGCTGTGGAATCCGAAATATACGCAAAATATAAGCAAGTAAGGTAAGACTTATTTGGGACAAACAGAAAAAAAATGTTCAAATAAAATGGGACAAAGGTGTGCAAAGCACAGTATCATGCGTCTCAAAGATAAAAGCCTAGCCTCTGAGAAATTCCTAGAATCCTTTCTACATGTATTCCATAGACTAAGGTAGCACACTATTTAAAGTTGGATGCTGTTAAGGCAATAATAAATGTACATTGCAGGTTTGGTGTAAAAAAAATGAAAAAAATCAAACTCTTTTCAGCCCTAGCAATCTTGCTTGTTCATCTGACTAGAATAACAAAATATTTTGAGTTGTGGAGGTCAGGTCTTAGAGATACGGGGACTCTTAGTTTTGATTTGTAGAATTTGTTTTATATAAATGCAGAATAAGTACCGGTGTTCTTGGTAACCTTGAAAGTCATTAAAAATACAGTGAAACCTTTATTATCCGGCACTCTGTTAACCAGAAAACTTTAACTGGCATTGCCCCCAGCCACAATACTATCACATCTTCAGGCACAAAGGCCTGGCTTGGTTTACCATGATTGGCTTAACAATTTTTTATTTAAGAAGTACTAATCATCTTTAATTCAAAATAGAAATGTGAAACCAGCTGCCTCACACTATAAAACTACCTATATTAAAAACTTGAGTTTTACTATTATTGTCCATTGTTTTTTCCTAGATTGATGGGACCCTCAGATAACTGGAATTTTTAGATAACCAGAATGCCCTAATCCCCGAGCATGCCGGATAACACAGGTTTTACTGTATAAACAGCCCATCTTCTCACTTCAGAAGTTTAAATAACCACCAGTGAAGTAGAAGCAAAAGCCAGAATACAGGCAGTCCCCGGGTTACGTACAAGATAGGGACTATAGGTTTGTTCTTAAGTTGAATCTGTATGTAAGTCGGAACTGGCGTCCAGATTCAGCCGCTGCTGAAACTGATCAGTTTCAACAGCGGCTGAAACAAGTGTAACACTGCAACATTGGACAAAGCATTTGGAAGACTAGACAGTTTATCTGCATCTTTGACATAGTAAGATTTCAATCTTGTATTAAGAAATCAAATAGAAATTCCCTTGGTTTGGAAAAAAGTGAGCTGAAAGCAGGCTATTCAGCTTTGAAATTCACACACTCCCTTGGTTTAAGCTAGCTTTTATTTGTTGGCATGCTATAAAGCCCATCTGTTTGCACAGGCTTTTGTGGTGCGTGCGTGCATGTGTGTGTGTATATATATGACATATATATATATATAATATATACACACACATATAAATAAATTAAATAAAAAGAACTGGTGAAGGTTGAATGGGCATTGTGGGGAACGAGGAGTTGATTACAGGCAGTCCCCGAGTTACACGGATCCGACTTATGTCGGATCCGCAGTTACGAACGGGGCCCTCTCCCTGGTCTTCAGCAGACCAGGGAGAGGAAGCAAAGCGGCTGAACACGCGGGCAGCGGACAGCCCAGACGCGCGTCTGGGCTGTCCGCTGCCCGCGTGTTCAGCCGCTTTGCTTCCTCTCCCTGGTCTGCTGAAGACCAGGGAGAGGGCCCCGTTCGTAACTGCGGATCCGACATAAGTCGGATCCGTGTAACTCGGGGACTGCCTGTAATCAACTCCTCGTTCCCCACAATGCCCATTCAACCTTCACCAGTTCTTTTTATTTAATTTATTTATATGTGTGTGTATATATTATATATATATATATGTCATATATATACACACACACATGCACGCACGCACCACAAAAGCCTGTGCAAACAGATGGGCTTTATAGCATGCCAACAAATAAAAGCTAGCTTAAACCAAGGGAGTGTGTGAATTTCAAAGCTGAATAGCCTGCTTTCAGCTCACTTTTTTCCAAACCAAGGGAATTTCTATTTGATTTCTTAATACAAGATTGAAATCTTACTATGTCAAAGATGCAGATAAACTGTCTAGTCTTCCAAATGCTTTGTCCAATGTTGCAGTGTTACACTTGTTTCAGATACTCCTTTTATACACTCCATTTTCTACTACATGCTTAATGTGGCACATGACTGCACTAGGTACATCAGAAGACAGTTACACTGTGCTGTGTTATCAATGTACTAAAAATACTTAAGCTAATACTAATGCTTCTAAGAGCAACATATATACAAGTAGAAGAACCTTGCACAGATAGAAATGTCTACCCAGGGATGTGAATATCTGCGGCTAGAAATTGGGATCTGCAGGGCTCTACTCCCAAGAGTGACTGTGACCAGTGGAGAGCAGCATGGACCCATTGCACCCCAGAGCCTATGCCCCATGACAACAGCTCCTCCCAGCAGCTTCCTGGTCCCCAGCTGCGGCGTCTTTTGGGAGAGTTTGTACAGCCATGCAGGGGATGGGAGTAGTAGAGCCATACTACCGGAAAGAGCTGCCAATGTAGGGCAGTAACTCCCAGGAACGAGGGGAGTATGTTCCTCTCTGTTGGCAACAGTAGCTCTGGGGAATGGAGCCTTCAGATCCCAGTGTCTATATGTGGATATCTGTAACCCTAGGTAGACATTTCTGTCCACACATAATCTGTGGCAATGAGCCATCCAAAATCCCAACCACTAATCCCATCCCAAGTACAGTTTGAACCTCGCTAATCTAGCACCCTTGGGACTGACCAGTTCCGAACGAGAGTATTTTCCAGATAAGGAGAGGTCAGTGTTGTCTAGCAGCATTACCAACACTTCCACGGCCTACTGGACTATTGAAGGACATTTAGGGGTAAATTAGAGCTAAATAGCAGCACAGAACACTGAGACCCAGGACTGGAGGCTGTAAACAAAGTTTATGGGACCACGGGAAACTTGGCCATCCCCATGAAAAGTGGACATCCAGCTAACTGAAGTCATTCTGGACGACTGATGTTTCTGGACCAGTGAGTTCTGGATTAGAGATGTTCAACCTGTAGTATATCAAGAATATGCCCAGGTATATATCCTGAGTAGTCAATCTCTGGGACAGTTGCATGCATCTACATAAATGTTGAAGTTGCTTAGTTCTTAAGTCCACAGCAGCAAGGAACCTTACCTGTTTATGCATAGATTTTGACATACCACAAGGTTATGTGCATAATAAAAATAGTTCACTGTTAATTGTGTCTTGCAACAGACACACAGAATGTATTTGCAATGATTTTTTTCCCTTCCTCTGCTCAAAGAAGGGGAACTGCAGTTTAAAACAACGAAAATCATCAGTGTTAAACATATCCTACTAGGGATGTTAAATTTAGATTAATTAACAAATCAAATAGTTGATGGGATTTCCATCGACTATTTGATTAGTTAATAAGGGCACCTCCACCTTTGAAGCCTGATACTCCCTGCGGTGCCTGAGCCTTTGAAATGTACAAGAGCCCCACAGGAAGTGCTGGGCCAGCAGGGAGCTCCCCACTGGCCCCACACTCCCTGCAGTGGCTGAGCCTTTGAAATGTACAAAAGCCCCAGCCTCTACCTCCCCTGCTGTCTGTGGAGATGATGCTGGAGGGAACTAGCTTTTAAGATGGATCCCCTCAGCACCAGTTCCTGTTCCCTCCCCCTCCTCCCTGCTGCCTCTGTCTTATAGAGGCAGCAAAGGGTGGGAAGCAACTAGTTGCATCACTAGTCGACTATCCGATAAGCATACGTTTATTGGATAGTTGACTAGTTGCTTACATCCCTATATCCTACACTGGACACTAATGCTTTTTCCACTAATTTTTCAGCCTGGGGCCTGCGGACTGTTTAAGATTCCCAATGGGATTGTCACCTCCATTTGAAAGACTGCGAGTGAAAGACTGAAAATTGCTAATTTAGTCTATTAATGTTTTGTCTGCCTAACGTTTTTAATGGAGGATGATTCCATTTTCAGGAGTAGTATATTTACATATCAGTAATTTGTTTAGGCTTTAAATCGTTTCTAAATTAAATGTATTACTAGAATGGCAGATATGACAAACCATGATTTACGGATTACGAATCTACTCTGGCATACATCTGCATTCACTCAGCCATCATTAAGGTGGTCATAATATTTTACAACGGTGTTACATTAATGTAGTAAAACTAGCTACAGCAAAATTACATTTAAATGAACATTATTAACCTATATGATCATGACCTTGTAAGTCAGCTATCACAGAATCTGTTTGTATAACAAGCTTGTCTCTTATTTTGAATGGGAAGGAGAGATTCATGTTTTTTTCTTTCAATATCCTATTTCCAAAATCCTTTAAAAATTAGTGTTTCTTGTCAGTCAACTACCCAGAACAGTTCCATTGTTTTTAAACAGAGAGACTTCTAGATGGTAACATTTCATTTGTAAATGTTTTGCAAAACTAAGTTGTGTTCCTGATCCTCCTGTAGTAACCATCAAATGAGTCCCAATTATATCATATGATTACAGACCACTAAAAAGTGATAAGTTTTTAAATTGCTTAATTACAAATGCTAGAAGTCTGAACGATAAGATGGATGAACTAAAGTGCTTTATATTAAATGAGGATATCGATATAATAGGCATCACAGAAACTTGATGGAATGAGGTGGAAACTTGGTGGAATAATCAGTAGGGCACAGTAATACCTAGATGCAAGGATAGAACAGGTCATGTTGGTAGGGACGTGGTACTATATGGGAAAGAAATAATATAATTAAATGAAGTAAAAATCTGAAATGAACCATACTGTACCATAGAACATCTATGGATAATAATTACGTGTTCAAATAATAATACAGCAGTAAAAATATTACCAACCACCTCACCAGGATGGTGACAGTAACTCTGAAATGCTCAAAAATGTTAGAGAGGGTATAAAAATTAATGGGGATTTCAGCTATCCCCATATTGACTGGGTACAGGTCACCAGTGTTCCCTTTAAGCTGTGCACTTGTGCAGCTGCCTGGGAGAAATTAAAATGCTACCCAGCTGATTTTCAGAGCATCCACAGCCAAGCTGTGTGTTTCTCTTAGTGGTGCACATTTGCATATAAATTTATTCTGCAGATGGATGGAAAAATCCACACATAGATAGAAAAGATTGGAGGAAACATTGCATGTTAACTCAAGACATGATGCAGAGATAGTTTATTGACACCTTTAAATGACGACTTCTTGCAGTAGATAGTCCTAAACCCAAAAGAAGAGAGACAATTCTTGATTTAGTCCTAAGTAGTGCACGGAATCTGTTTTAAGAAGTGACGATAGCTGGATAGTTTGATAATAGTGACCTTAATATAACTGAATTTCACATACCTGTGGTGGGGAAAAGACCATATCAGGTTTACACTTTAGCATTTAAATTTCAGAAAGGAGGACTACACAAAAATGAGGGGGTTAAACAGAAATTAAAAGGTATTGTGTCAAATGTGAAAACCCTACAAGCTACATGGAAGCTTTTTAAAGCCACCATAGAGGCGCAACTTAAATGTATATCCCAAATTAAAAAACATAGTAAAGAGAACAAAAATAAACCCACCATGGCTAAACAAAGTATAGAAGCAATGAGAGAAAGTTAAATCCTATTAGGAAAAGAGAAGGGTGTAAACTCTAGTAAGTGAAAATATAAAAATGTATTTATGAAAGCCCAAAACAAAAATTTGAAAAACAGCTAGCCAAGGACTCAAAAACCAAAAATGTTAAGTACATCAGAAGCATCTCTGGATGATCAAAATACTAAAGGCACACTCAAGGATGGCAAGGCACTGCAGAATAACTAAATGAACTATTTGAATTCGTCTCCAGGGCTGAGGATGTCAGGGAGATTCCCAAAGCTGAGCCATTCTTTTTAGGTGACATATCTGAGGATGGTTCCAGATCGATGTGTCAAAAGTTTCAGAATAAATTAATAAACTAAACAATAATAAGTCAGATGGTATTCATCAGAAGGAATTCAAATGTAAAATTGCAACTAATTAGGGTTTGTAATCTAATCCTTTCAATTAGCTTTTGTACCAAATGACTGGAGGATAGCTAATGTGCTGCCAATTTTTAAAATTGCTCCAGAGTTAATCCTGTCTATTACAAGCCAATAATCCTGACTTCAATGTCCGGCAAATTTGGGGGGAAGAGTCAACATTTTTTAAAAGGAAATCATGCCTCTCTAATCTACTAGAACTTTTTGAGAGGGTCAACGAGCATGTAGACAAAAGGGATCCAGTGGATATAGTGTACCTGAATTTTAAGAGTGCCTTTGACAATGTCACTCACCAAAGGCTCTTAAGCAAAGTAAGCTGTCATGGGATAAGAAGAAAGGTCATCTCATGGATTGGTTGAAAGGTAAGAGAAACAGAACAGGAATAAATGGTCAGATTTCAAAATGGAGAGACATAAATAGTTATCTTTATTGGGATTTCCTAAATGATCTGGAAAAAGATGTAAACAGGGAGGTGGCAAAATTTGCAGATACAAAACTCCTCAACATGATAAAGATCCAGGTAGACTATGAAGAGCTACGAAAAGCTCTCACAAACCTGGATGATTGAGCATCAAAATGGCAGACAAAATTCAGTGTTGATAAATGAAAAGTAATGCATATTGCAAAACACATGCCCAACTATACATATAAAATGAATTAGCTATTACCACTTAAAGATCTTGGAGTCTTTGCGGCTAGTTCTCTGGAAAAATCCACTCAATATACAGCAGCAGTCAGGAAAGCTAGTAGAACACTAAAAATCATTAAGAAAGGGATAGATAAGACAAAGTATCATAATTCTATATAAATCCATGGTACGCCCACATTTTCAATACTGCACGCAAATGAGTTCACCCCATTTCAAAAAAGATGTATTGGAATTGGGAAAAGTATAGGGGGGAAAAAAGCAATACATTATTAGGGGAATGGAATAGCTGCCATATGAGGAGAGATTAAAAAGACTCCCTTCAGTTTGAAAAAGAAGCGGCTAAGAGGAGACAGAGAAGTCTATACAATCACCACTGTTTTGCAGAAAATAAATAATGAAGTGTTATTTATGCCTTCTCATAACACAAGAGCTAAGAGTTACCAAATGAAATTAAGAGGCAGCAGGTGGGAAAACAAAAGGATTCACTATTTCCACAACAGACGGTTCACCTGTGGAACTCCTTGCCAGAGGATGTTTTAAAGACCAAAACTATAACATGGTTCAAAAAAGAACTAAGTAAGTTCATGGAGGATAGGTCTATCAGTTGCAATTACCGTATATACTCGAGTATAAGCCGAATTTTTCAGCACAGTTTTTGTGCTGAAAAATGCCCCCCTCGGCTTATACTCGAGTCAGCATCTCGAGAACTGAGGCGGGCAAAGCCTCAGAGGCGCGGGACCCCCCGCGGCTGCGGCTTCAGTCCGGGAGCCTGTGGTCTGCTGGGGACGGTCCCCAGCAGACCACAGGCACCCAGATTGAAGTGGCAGCAGCGGCGGTTCCCCGCGCCTCTGAGGCTTTGCCTCTGAGGTAAGATTCTGGCCAACAGTGGAGTTTTTCCTTCTGCTCTATTTGGATTCATACTGTTGCTAACACATGCTTTATGGCGATGCCCTTATGCTATTGTGTGTTCCCTAGGTTTCAAATAATCAAAGTTGTTCCCTTCTGTTCCTCCCATTTGAAAGGGAGGAATGACTGAGTAGGTCATGTTGGTGAGAGAGTGCCATGAAAGAAAAGAATCAAACATAATAAAAATCTTAAATGATTTAAATATCACCATAGAATCTCTCTGGTTAACTATTCCATGATTAAATAGTAAGAGAATTACAGTAAAAAATATACAATTGATTATCTGACCAGAATTGTGATGCTGATTGTGAAATTCCTTCAGAAAGGAACTGCACAAACATGAGGCTAATAAAAAGGAAATTAAAAGAATTAGTTGCAGTAGTGAAATATTTGCACTCAGCATGAAAACTGATGCAAGCCGATGCAGGACTGCACAGTCCAACATCAAACAAAGGGGGTCCCGCACCTCTGAGGCTTTGCTCTGGCAAAGCCTCAGAAGCGCGGGAACCCGCCCGGTGCCCCTGGTCTGCTGGAGACGGTCTCCAGCAGACCAGGGGCACCGGAGCAGCTTTCGCCCCGACTTCCAGGGCTAGACCCGGTATCTATCTTCATTTTTTACATTTACCAGTAGCTGCCTCATTTCCTACCCTAGGCTTATACTCGAGTCAATACTTTTTCCTGTTTTTGATCTGAGGAAGTGGGTCTGGCCCACGAAAGCTCATCATCTAATTAACCATCTTGTTAGTCTTTAAAGTGCTACATTGTCCTGCATTTTGCTTCAGCTACCCCAGACTAACACGGCTACATTTCTATCACTGTAATAGTGTGTTAGTTATATCTTTCTCCCTATGTTTATCCCTTTTTGTAACTACAAACATTATTCACAAGGGATGGGGAGAGGGGGTGGAACCGGAGAATGCTAAGGAACTTTCCTTAAATTCCCTATGCCCCCAAATCTGGTTTCTGTAAAGTTCTTCATGTATATTAGTAGAAGGGAAAAGATGGACAGATTTGACTATATTTGTCTCATTGATTGTAAACCGTTTTAATCAAGTTTTCCACTAGCCTAGTTTATTTTGCTTTTCTAATGAAATCAACTATAGGTTATTGACTTCAAATGAGCACAGATGAGAATATTTTATGCTTTAAAACCATCTTTAAGAAACATATTTTACTGTGTTAAGGGTTGTTACGGAATGCTGTGAAATAGCAAAACCTTCCCATAGATTCCTGTGCTTGACCTTGACAGTCTTAACACTCCAGCCCTTCCTACTTTACCTATAGCAATGAGAAAATGTTTGCAATGCCTTAGAAGAGCATCACATTCATTACTGCTTGCTCACCTCCACCCGCTCCTTTATTGGGTCAGATAAGAGGAAAAAATACAATTTTCATTACATTCTATTAATAGAATGAGATTAAAAGCACTTAATTTAGAAGGAAATGGTCACAAATATTTTAATAACTTATTTGGTGAAATACTGAAATAGCAATTAGAAAAACTTGAATTCATCTAAACTTTTTAATTAACTCAGTTTTCTTTTTCATTCCCTTAATTTTTCATTTAATTTGATGTGCATAAACTCTTAAAATATAAAAATGACTAAAAAAGGTGATCAGGTGAAGATAAAGCAAAGATACAAGAGAATACCCTAGTTTTAAGGAAAAAAATTAAGATTCACCTGATCATCTGAGTGGTGTTGTTGAGTAGTTTCATATTTGACTACAGTATAAACATTTATTACACCTGTTGATTACAAATAATATCAATATTGGCTAACATGTATTTATGCAGTCAGAACATGACCGTGTATATGGATTGTTCTTGGTCCTGCTATGAGTGCAGGGAACTGGTCTTGGTGATGTCTTGAGGTCCCTTTTAACATTATATAACATTTAAATTCACTATATGAAAGTTGTGGTTATTTGTGGTGTTATCCTGCAGGTTATAACTTTAGCTAAACCTGTTAACTGGATTATGTCCTCCTCAGCTACAACTCAGATTTTCTTTAGTGACATGATCACAAGTAGGCAGAGATTAGTGAAATAATACATGTGGCCTTCTGAAGTTAGTAATTGCCTTCTGACATCCATTTTCACAGTCAGTGTAGCGATCAGAGTTATTTCTCTGTATTGATGCCTGCTGTTATGTAAATAAGACTTTAAATAGCTCCAGAACTGTTATGATGCAAATACCTATCCCCTTCAAAATAAAACCAAAAGCAAGCATCCATGCCCGTAGATTCTGTCTGTAAAGTAAGAATGTAATAGTAAGTGCTACAGGATCTAAATCTTGCAGAGTATAAAAATGTTAATAAGCTTTATTTCATTTTTAAAATGTACATAATCTAGTTCACAATTTCTACTGGCAACGGTTTCAAAAATGTTTTATCGCTTTTCTGTGATATCTGGTGACAGTAATGTGAGCACTGGGATAAATGAGTCTTGTTACTTTAGGAGTGTCTATAATCTGAATATCTTTACTGGGTTTGCTACTTTGATGCAAACCTCAGTGCGCATGTGCTTGCCCCAGTTTCAAACCAGGAGAAGCCACACCCCCAGGGCAAGCCCTGTCTGACACTGGTCAAGTCATCTACACGGGGGAAACTGAGGGGGGAGAGAGTGGTCTTGCACCCATGAAGCTCATCAGTATAAATGTTCCTCCTATAGACAGGCTCTTAATTACCTTGCATAATAATGTATTTCCTAATAAAAGGTTTAGTTGAATTATAACTAGCTCTCAGTTAGAATTAACCATTGTTTCTCTTTTGCAGTAACAACAGGAAGAAAGGCAATGTCTATTGTGCTCTCTTTTTTGTTCTTTGCAAAGCCATTCACATTCCAGTAAGTATCCAATTGTCAGATAATTTTTTTTTGTAGTTTAAGAAAATCTTATGTAATATCTAGCATTTATTTATTAATTAGCTGTTTGGAGGCTTATTCTATAAAGAACTTTAGCTAAAGAACTTTATTCTTTCTGATAAAATGACGTTTTCTCCTTCTCAGCTTCAAACTGTTACCCAATATACTCTTTTATAACTAACCTTTTGTTATCATGACACATTAATTTGTAAGTTTGTATCAGCATTATTGACAGTTTTTTATAAGGAGTTTAGAATATTTTCCAAAGCATTTGCATTTGTAAAAAAGATTAAATGATTTACATGGAGCCTGATGACTTCTGGATTGAAACAAAATACCATTTATCTTTATTGCTACTGCACTTGTAATAAGCTGTATTGGAGGACTGTAAGTAAACTTTTCTGCCAAATGCCCAAAATACCTACATGCAATTCAGTTTCTCTGAAAAAATGTGAAGTCTTACCAAAAGAACACAAAGTTTAATGGTAAACAATTTTGATGAGGGGAACAAAAAAAAGAGTGCCGTAATCAGGCAATCCAAGCTAATGATGCAGAGAAAAAAAACCTTGTTTAGGAACAGTGGTCATAAAACATAGCTCCTATAAACATGGGAATATACGGCAAATCGAGACTTTAATTTTGAGGATATTTTATTCATATAGCAAAGTGCCATTACAATTAATTATAGCTTAATGTTTGGACAGGTTATGTCAACTAAACTCCTTTTTCCAGTCTACATAGAAAAGAGGAAGGAGAGATCTATGCTAATACATAGTCTGGGTCCTATCACTTGCTTTTCTTTAAGACCATCTGTTAGATTGTCAGCTTCTTGAGAGACAGATTTTATTTTTGTTTTGTAGAATGCAAGGCACATCATTGGCACATTACAAATCAACGTAATAATAGCATAATTTTCCTCTTCTCTCCTTTAGGTACGTGTGGTCAGGTTTATTAGTTGTCCTCGGTATATTTCTCAATGTTTACAGTAAGAATATGGATAAAATCAAGCTGCCCTCATTACGGGGTCTTTGGAACAAAATTGTGGAAGACAGACAGACAAGGACGTTGTCCCAAACTGTGTAGACAAGTGGTTGTATGCCATGTCTTGAATCTGACTTATTTTAGTGGAACAGTCTTCAACTGATTCATTTTCCAAAGGGAGCATTATTAAAACCAAAGGAGCTGAGGGCATATTGTCGGCTTGCAGGTGGTTTAACATGAACAATTTTATATGAACCTTCTCTTCAGAACACTTGAATTCGTTGTAGCTGGCGTAGTCCACTGTCAGAAGACATTAACAAGACAATGAAGGAAAGCAACTCCTGGCAGACTGCTGAAAAAACTGTACTCCAAAAAGGGGGACAGTAGAAGATTAATTGGGGCATTTTAATCATATCAGATGTGGTGGATTTGAGATTAGTGGTTCTTTGTTTTTATTGTTGGGGTGGGATTATTTAATGGTAACATGGTATTAACACTTAATGGAAGCTAATGAGCAACTGATTGACCAAATTGAAATTTTAAAGTTGGAAAATATACGGCTTGTCATGATTTTTTCATTTTAAATAAAAATTCAGTTTCAATTCTTGGTGAGCATCTCAACAGTGTACATTTCTTAATATAAATTGGCAATTCTCAAAAATCGATATTTGATTAACTGTTTACATTTGAGACTGAAATTATTTTTCCCCTTTGTTCCTCCTCTCAGCTTTTAAAATGTATTTAAAAGTACATACAGGCATTACTGTTAATCCCAATATGAAAAAAGTACAAAGATCTGTATCTGCTTGCAGAACTAGTTCATCCTCAGAGGAGTTGTCTGCTTTCT